GGGGGGGGGCGTCTTTACCTGTGGATGGTCAGGTACAGCCTCATCAGTTCTGTGAACATGGGCTCCTCATACCCCAGCATGGACGTGAAGTTTGCCGACCAGTCCTTCTCAGGATCGATGGCTCCGATGCTGGAACCCTCGCGGTAAAGATTACGGTAGATTTTGGCGGCTACGGTTGGCAGTTTTGCGATAAGGTCCATACTGTCTTCATAGGCAAACTGGGAAAGGATAAGAGCAGTCAAGTGACAAAAGGAAATATTTGTTGGAAAGTATTTCATTGATAACTCAAAGTAGTTACCAATGAATTGTCATCTTTAATCTACAACATGATTACAATATGATACTTCCGAACATTTTGAAAGAGATTCCTAATTGATACACATGATCCACAGCTACAAGATACCAGTACATCTAATTCTGTATTCTTCTGTTTACAAGTATACATATCGCTTGATTGATCCGAGGCCACAAAAAGAGTTTTATAACAGCAATATGCAGCACTTGTAGTTTGCAAGATCCTCAGCAAATTGGAGGACTTAAGTATACATGAAGCAATAGTCTTGTGAGACTTCTGCAATACATTTTTCAAAAGAACTGTTGAACCGTTCATTTGAAAAATGTATGAACTTCAACCTAGACCCATAGCAATTAGAACAGTACTGTTGTCACACTACACAGGAGGTCTAAGAACTCCATTCCCTACCTCCCAGTACTTGCTCTTGTGCACGCCCTCTGCATACTTCTTGGCGAAGTTGCTCTCGCTGTTGAGTGCTGAGATGGCGGCGCTGAACTGTGACATGGGGTGGAGGTTGTTGGGGAAGTTGTCCAGCATGGTGACCACGTGGGACGGGAGGTCAGCTCTGTCTGCCCACTGACGGGATAACCAATCAGCCTGGAGGTGGACACAATAACATAAAACATCAGCATAGTGTGTGAAGCTTCTAGGTTAGCTAATACACAAACAAATAGGGAAAGGAAACGAAAATTATCTTGATCCAGTTTTAACTCACTGAAGAGCTAATATCCCACTGGTCCTGTCAGAGAAGACAGGTGTTATGTACAGTATTTACAGGTTCATTGTATTGAGGAAATTCCCCTAGCTGTTTTCAACAAGGCCTAAGAAAATAAATGTTGTGTTTCCTGTTCCCCGACCGACCCTAAAAAAAACCGCCGACCCTAGCCTTATTTTTGTGTGGACCCCTGCATATTGCTGAACCAAAACATTTTGCACGACGCTACCGAGAGAATCGCTGTTATTGGTGGAACATCGGGCGCCCCGCTAGCGTTTTGAAGTCGTGTAAACAACGCTAATAATTTGTCTGATTTGTTTGTAAAACAAAGCCATCGACTCCGAAAATAAGTTTAAAAGCCGATACATTTACGAACTAATCGTAGAAAATTCCCTACCGTACTGCACCATCAGCATGCGGCGGCCGCAAAAATTCGGCAACGCGAAAAAAAATGTAATGGTCCATGATAGCAGTATTTCTCATAAAAATAATGTATATGATGTATTTTCCCCTCCTCTGATGTGAGTTTTTAGGTCGCAAAACCTCTAAAAAAGCAGAAATTTGCCCACGAAAACGGACTGGCAAGGCATGGGGGAGGGCGCTGTTGACGCCTGCATGACCCCCAAAGGTTGAAGGTCATAGGGCACGTCCATTGCGCAATAACCTTAAATCGCCGATTTAGCTAATTTTTTTGGGTTTCAAATTGATACAACCACACTATCGATTTTTAGGCAAACAAAGGGATAGAAACCAATTAAAATTTTGTGCAGATTAATTTTTTTTTTTTCTTTAGAATTCTTTTTTGTTTCTTTTTTTTTCTCCCAAATCCCTGGGAGAAACCCTGAAAACCTGTAGACTTGAATCAGGACCTGAATCTGAATTTAGCCCTGCAAGGGCTAGGGACATCTGATCGACCGTTTAAAGCTCCATGATCTGACACCTGAGTACCTGAGTGATGAAATATAATATTGCACAATCGATTTTTCATCATGTTCTGCTTATATAAACACAGCAATCAGCAAAGTCTAAAAAATAAAAAACAAAAATAAAATAAGATAATCCCTACCTACCGACCCTACTTTTTTCTGGACTGAAACAGGAAACACAACATTTTTTTCCTTGGCCCAAGCACAATGAACAGTGGA